TATACACAACAACAACAACAAAAACAAAAACAATAACAACAACAAAAACAACAACATAAACAACAACAACATCAACAACAACAACAACAACAACAACAGTAACAACAACAACAACAAAATTTACAACCACAGCAAAATCAACGAAATATCAAAACTTTTAAATATTTAGTTAATAAATTTTTTTTTATTTTTATAACCATTAAAAAAAGAAAAAGTTTATTTTGTTTTTTTTTTTTTATTATTGTTTATGTTTGTTAACATTAAAATCGATATATCGATTGAAACGCAATAATTTTAATAATAATAATAATAATAATAATAATTGACGAGAGCAAAAAAAAAAAATTCAGTCAAAAGATTTTTAAAACATCTAAAAGGTCAACCTAAAATGCGCGGGTGCGAGAGACAAAAACTTAAAAACATTTCCATTATTATTATTATTATTATTATTATTTATAACAACGAGTCGCATCATTATTATTATCATTTAATTCATTCATAAAAAAAAAAAGAAAGAAAAGAAAATTTATGGTTGCGATTTGGGTTTTGTTTTCTTATTTTTGTCGCCTTTTTTTTTTTTTTTTGGGATGGTCCGATTTTATCAATTAGTAAATTCGTTGGGATGGGATTTTCGCTTCCGATTTATTAATAATAATAAAAATAATAATAATAATTTATAACCTTTTGTTCATAAAAAAAAAAAAAAAAATTTGCTCATCAAGATTTAAATCTCGCGTGGGGAGATTCGAATGAGGAAAAAGAAGGGAATATGAGAAAGAGAAGAGGAGGAAGTTGTTAAAAGAGCAACAAACGACGATCCGTTGATTGTTGTAAAAGAGAAACAAATAATTTAATACCAATAAATTTTTTTTTTTTTTTTTTTACGCGAGGGAGAAGGAAAAGGGACAAACAGACAAACAGGCAAACACACCTAAAATGCATTAATTAACGTTATAACTTCCTAAACTCTTCACCTGTATCCATAAATAAAAAACAAATAAAACATATTAGACGATGATAATGATGATGATGATGATGATAATAATAAATTGTTTTTCATTGTTACGGAAAATTAGATCTTCATAGTAATACAGGGTGTGACCGAAAACCGATTAAAATGTCGAGAAACAATGGGTAAATTTATAAAATAAATCATGGTTGAATCGAAAAAAAAATTACATTTTTTTTTTGTCAAACAAACAAACGAACAAACGACAAACGGTTAATTTCTAAAATTACGAAACGTGAGAAAGGAAAAATAAAAAAAAATAAAAAAAAGGAAAAGAAAAAAATTTTGGAATGAAAGGAAATCCGTTCGACCGTTCGTATTTTAATAAAAAAAAAAACGTCTGCGACAAACCGTATCCGCCGTTATATAATAAATAAAAATGACGTCATTATTAATAACAATTATTATTATTATTATTACTATTTTCTGAATTTTTTATTAGTTTATAATTCGTGTAAATTATCGTTCGTTCGTTCGGGTGAAAAATTGGCGCGAAATTCAGGTTTAAATCGACAAACAATCGCAAAAAAAAAATTAAAAAACCGAAAATAAATTTAAATAAGAGAAAATTTCATTATTATTATCATTATTATCGGTGGAAATTTAAAAAAAAGGAGGCAAAATGATGGAAAAAAGGTTGAAAAAAAAGGATCAAAAAACGAACGATAAAAGAAAATTTTATTTTCTATCTACGTCATTATCAATTCTTATCACAAACAAACAAATTTTTATCTTTTCTCTATGAATATGCAATAGAACTTTATTAAAATAGATTAAAAAAAAAAAAAAGAAAAACCTTTTTCTTTTTTCCCGTTTTTCCGCTTCGCTCCGCCAAAAAAAAAAAAATAACCGAGTCACGTGACCAAGGGAAAAAGTCCTTTTTTTGTTTTTTATACACTGTCCTTTCTCTTATTTTTTCTTATATTTTCCCCATTATTTCTCTCTCTCTCTCTTTCTCTCCCTCTCTGCCTCTTTTTTCATTTTGGAAATGAAACGTGTTTGAAATTTTAAAAATTTTTTTAAATTTTATTTTGACCCTCGAAATTAAAATTTACACGAAACAAAACAACAAAAAATAGGAAAAAAACGATTAACAGACGTCGAACGTGCGACATTTTTATAGAAAAATAAAATAAAATAAAAACTCGATACGACCTTTTAAAAAATTTTCATTTTCCTCTTATTATCACCATCATCATCATTTAGGAATAAAATGGAAAGGGAGGGGGAAACAAAGACTTTCACGTCATAACCGGAAATCAATGGAAAAGAAACTTTAATTGTAAGAAATGACCCTTTTCAATTAGGAGTCAGTCATCACCACCCTTTGGCAACGAAGACAATCATCAAAACTTATTCACGTTTTTAATAGAAATTTATCATCATCATTATTATTATTATTATTATTATTATTATTATTTTCTTTTTTTTCGGGTTAAAATTGGTAAAAAGTGAAAAAAAAAATTTTTTTCAAAATGGATTTCATAAAAAAAATAAATTTAAAAACTTAAGTAAATAATTCCAAAAAAAACGGAAAAAAAAGAAAAGAAAATATATATTTAGGTGGTGATTTTCCAGAATGTTCTTCTCATGCATTATTAATATATCACATATACGCATAACGTTTCCGGTTGTTTAAAAAAAAAAAAATTTTCCTATCAATAACCACAGGTTACGAATATATATATAATATTGTGTGTGTGTTATTTTTTGGCGCCGGTTTTTTTTTCTCAAACATTTTTATTTTTGTAAACGCCTACAAATAATATTATTATTATTTTTTTTCCAGTTCATTTCTTCACGGGTGAGTAAATAATAATAAAAAAGGAAAAAAAAATCCCTTTTTTACTCGAAAAAAAAAAAAAATCCTCAACTGTCACGTAAAAAATTATTTAATACAAATATTTAATTTTTTTTTTTTTTTTTAACCGGTTAATAAAAAAAAAATTTTCAATGTCCGTCTACGATTTTATTTTTATTTTCATCACTTCCGGTTTGCATACCACCTTTTACGAAAAATCCCTTTCGATTTTTACCCTTACGACGATAAATTCAATTTTTTAAGAAAAAAAAATTATTTTCACGTATCCGTAAGAACGGATAGGCACCGGGGGGATTCGAACCCCCGATCTCCTGTTTACTAGACAGGCGCTTTAACCAACTAAGCCACGGCGCCGTCATATCACCTACTCAACACACACACCGTCCAATGCTTTGTGTGATAACGAAAAAATATTTGTGATGAGTTTTAGGCTCATTCGCTAATCGACGGGAGAATCGAGGTTAACAACAAATTGACGACAAATAATTTTTTTTAAAAAAACAAATTTAAACAAATTAATTTTTGCAATCGTTAATATTACGTAAGGGGTCAAGCCAAAGGTCAAATCGAACAAAGGACACAAAAAAAAATCCGTCGTCGGTTTTAGACGACAACCCGTAAAACGTGGCGCGCTATAATTTACAAAAAACTACAAATCGGATAAGGTATTCAATATCGTAATAATAATAATAATAATAATAATAATAATAAAAGTTATACATGCAGAAGAAAAAACTACAAAAAAAGGAGTTCTGAAAAGGGCAAAACAAATCGTCCAAGAAAATAAAGAAAATGAGATAATGGAAGAAGGGCAACTTGCAACTTATAATAGCAAAGCCCAATCTCAGAAGAAATTAAAAGGCAAATGGGAACAGAAAAAATTACATGGGCAATACCTAAAAAGAATAAATGCCGAAGATATTAATAAGAAGAGCACGCACAATTGGCTACGGCGTGGAAAACTTAAAATTGAAACAGAAGCGTTTATTACAGCGGCTCAAGATCAGGCATTGCGGACCCATAACTATGAGAAAGTAATTCTCAAAGTCCGCCAAGATGACAAGTGCCGAATTTGCCAATCTCAATCGGAAACCATCGATCATTTAATTTCCGGTTGTCCGATACTGGCAAAACATGAATATTTAGAAAGGCACAATAAAATATGTCAATATCTCCATTGGAGTATATGCCGAGAATATGGAATGGATGGATTACCCAAGGAGTGGTACAACCACATTCCAAGCCCGGTTACGACAGTAGGTCCATGCACAGTTCTATATGATCAACAAATCCACACTGATAGAACTGTGCCAGCTAACAAACCGGATATCATACTCAGGCATAATGGGGAAAAATGGTGTAAGTTAATTGAGGTATCCGTGCCGGCAGAAAAAAACACCACAGCCAAAGAAGCAGACAAAAGGCTGAAATATAGAAATTTGGAAATCGAAATAACCAGGATGTGGGGAACAAAAACAGAAACGATTCCGGTCATCGTGGGAGCATTGGGAGCCATGCCACATTCAATGAAAGGAAACTTAAAGAAGATTATGAAGAACCTAAAAGAAGAAACCATCCAGGAAATCGCACTATGTGGGACGGCCCACATCCTTCGGAAAATATTATAAGTAGCACCACCGAAATTCGAGTATTTGTCCCTAAGGAATCGGGTAGAAACCTGGGATAAATATTTAAAAACCCCGACAAATAAGAGCCTTGTCGTGTTTAATAGTGGACATAATAATAATAATAATAATAATCCGTAGAGTGCTATAATATATATAAAATTGTTTGTACAACAAGGACTTTTTCCTCGCTATAATTGCTATATTACTACGTTACGAAAAAAAAGAAAATGACATAAAAAATTCTCTTTTGTAGTAGCGATCGATAAAAAAAAATATAGTAATGAAATTAACGATCAAAGACTATATAAATTATAGCAGAAGAAAAAAAAGGAAAATTTAATTAAATAATAGAAAAAACAGAAAATAAATTTTGACTATAAAGAAGAAAAAGAAGAAAAAGAAAAAAAGGAAAAACCGTTTCATTAAATTTTTTTTTTTTTATATACAGTAAACGGGAAAAAAATCCCAAGAGAAAATTTTTCCTTTTTTTTTTTTCCTTTTTTCCTTTTTAACTTAAATCATATAATTTTCTAAATCAAGGTTAAGAAATAGTTTGTCTATAAAAAAAAAAAAAAGGCGAAAGAAAAAAGACTTCGAAAAAATCCCAAAAGACTAGAAAAACCATTAAGAAAAAGTGGAAGAAGTAAAATGATAATGATGATGGAAAACCCGTTTGAAAATAAAACTTTTTCCGTTTCCGTTTTGACGTGGACAATACCGTAAAATTTTCGAAAAATTCCGTTTTTGGCGCCATAAAATAAATCGAAAAAAATTCGAATGAACGAATTGAGACTAAAAGGAAAATTTCGGAAAAATTTATTTAAACAAACAACTTAAAATTTTACTTTTTTTTTTCTTTTTCTTATTTCCCAGTGAAAACAGTTTTCTATAAAATTACCCGTACGAGTAACGAGGGTCAAATTTTTTACATCTTTTTCCGTTTCCGTTTTTATAGTTTTCAATCACCGTGATTTTTTCTCTCTTTCCTTTTTCACCGCATCGACCTTTTTCTATTTCCTTTTAAAAGAATCAAATCAAATCAAATAAAAATATTTTTTTTTCACCTTTTTCCAATCGTCGTCGTCGTGTAAATAGAAAATGATAATAATAATAATAATAATAATAATAATAATAATAATAATAATAATAATAATAATAATATTTTTTATTTTCCGGTTTCAATTTTTTTTTTCTTTCATATCGTGTATTTCACCTTCTTTGTTTTTGTTTTTTAAAGAAAATGTTTTATTACGTCATCACTATAATAAAATAAAAAAAAATTATATAGACTATAATTTAAAAACTTTATAGACTATAAAATAAAAAATATAGCAAATGAGCGTGTCGTGTGTTTTCTTTTTTTTCCTTTTCCAGAATGTTTTCAACGACTATTTCTAAAGGGTCTAGGTCGGATTAGTGAATAATAATTGATTGCTTTATAGCGCGCTTTAATTATAAACTATAAACTATAAAATATTTGACGCGTGATAATCATCGAATAACGTTTAACAAGGTTAAAAAAAAAAAAAAAACTTTTTCTCTTTTTTTTTTTTTTCGAATTAAAAAATTAAATTTTTAGACAGTAAAAGCGTCACGCGTGCTGACATTTTGACACTTTGGATGAAAAATGTTTTTCAAAAGCTATGTTGTCATGAATTTTACTTTCGACAACAACGACAACAACAACAACGTTGGATAAAAAAAACATTCGAGAAATAAAAAAATTATTACGTGTGTGACAGATCTAAGAATGATTTTTGATGGTGGTGGTGGCGGTGGTGGTTGTTGTGGTTGTGGTGGTTGTCGTTGTAGTAGGTTTAAGATTGTTTGTACTCTTGTGTTCGACATATTCTCCTCCTCAACCTCCTTCTCTTACTATCCTCATACGACTACCTCTCTCTCTCTCTCTCTCGCTCTCGCTCTCGCTTTTTTTTTCTTCCCTTTTAAATCTTCTTCCGATTGTTTATGTTTCAATAGTACGTGACTTAATAGTATTAACGCGGATCAAAATTCTACAAAAGTCTTACACACTCACACACACATATCATTATTATTATTATTATTATTATTAATATTGGTTTTTTAATGTTTTTTTTTTAAACACCGTCGGTTATTTTTTCTTTTTCCCGCCATTTTTCATTTCTAAAATTCATTCGACCTCTGTTTTAATTTTTTTCCCCCCCTAATCGTCTCTAATTCGTTTTTTTTTTCTTGGTTATATAAAAAAAAAATATAGCGCTATAAATTTATTAAAACGATGCGATGATGATGGGTATGTTAAAGGAAAAAAAAAAAATTTTCTTTTGCAGTTTTTTCGATTAACCTGCAGGCACCGGGGGGATTCGAACCCCCGATCTCCTGTTTACTAGACAGGCGCTTTAACCAACTAAGCCACGGCGCCGTTGTGTCTTTCAAGATGTCACAAAAACAATGTCGATCGTTCGAATATGTACATAAAAAAAAATGATTACAAGGCTCTATATTCAGGCTTAACAAGAATATAATAATAATAATAATGATAATAACAATGACGAGAATACGAAGACGACGACGACGACGACGAAATGGCATTATTTTCAATGTCGACCATTTTTTTTTATTATTTATTTATAAACAATTTTAATGGCGATTTACATAAACAAACGAAGGCCGACAATAACAAAAAAAATTTTTTCCCTTTTTTTTTATTAAAATTTTAATTCGAAACGAACTCGTTGAAATATTTATTAAATAAGAATTATTACGCAGAGAGTGTAACGAGCAAAAGGAAATAATAAAAAAAATTATTATTAATGACGTCACCGCTATAAATATACTATATTATTGCTATAGAAATCAGCCTTGAGGAGAGAAAAGTTGTTTGTTCAACGGATTCATAAACAGTTTATTCGTCTATAAAAAACGTGTGGAAATATGTGTCAGACTAAAATTCTGTTTGTTAACTTGATAGCGTTGAACAACTCGGCGCCGTGGCTTAGTTGGTTAAAGCGCCTGTCTAGTAAACAGGAGATCGGGGGTTCGAATCCCCCCGGTGCCTATCCGTTCGTTCGGATACGTTAAAAAAATTTTTTTTCTTTATTTTGTTTGTTATTAACAAACGTTCGACCCGTTCAAACTTTTTTACTTATTATTTATTAACTCTACGATAAATTTATTTTTGCATTCTTAACTCTCGCTCGGTTTCGAACGGGTTGGGGGGGGGTCTTCGAAAAAATAACGAATTTTTTTTCTTTTTTTTTTTAAATTTGGCGCCGAAAACATAAGAAAATATTTATTTATTTATTTTTTTTTTTTTACTCATTAACCCTCTTATAAATTTAATAATGACGATGACGTCGATCATGATGATGATGATAATAATAATAATATTTAAATAAACCAGAACTTGAAACTTGTTGACAGATTAATCTTAAAACTTACCTAAAAATATTTTTTATTTTATTATTTACATTATCTGGATTTTATGTTTCACCATAGAGTATTAATCAATTGAACGCCGTAAAGAGAGAGAAAGAGAAAGAGAGAGAGAGATAAATTTTAAATGTTTTAATTATTTCAGTACCAAAAGGATTTAAATCTTATAAAATTTTATTTACATAAAAATCATTTGGAACTAAAAAAAAAAATCTTTAAACCTTTCAATTAAGATAATCCGTTGAAAATATTAAATCAAACATGTCGGCGTAATAAAAAAGGGCAAAACATGTATAAAAATTAAATATCGAAATGAAAAGGGGAAAGAAACGTAAAGAGAGAGAGAGAGAGAGAGAGAGAGAGAGAAAGGGAAAAGGAAAAGGAAGAAGAGAAAAAAGAATAACGGAGAAGAAGAAAGAAACAAACATAAATGAAAACAACAACGACAACAACAAACATACATACAAAAACGAATGATTTAAAACTAATGAGAGAGAGAGAGAAAGATTGTGCGTGAGGTGAGTGCGTGCGCGTAAAAGAAAAGAAATCCGACGTGTCATAATAAAAACGCCGCCGAATTTAAATTAATAAATAAAAGATTTATTCGTTCGTATTATTTGACAATCTGATGATGATGATGACTTTCTAGAAATTTCCATCATAATCAATTTTTTATCTTACACGCACGCGCACTTAAATAATTTCATTTAAATTATTTAAAAAATATTATTTCGTAATGATAATAATAATAATATTTCAATTAAATTAAATTTAAAAAAAAAAAAATTATAAATAAATTTATTTCCAAGGAGTTCGTGACAAGTCGGCAAACTAACAAAAAAAAAAAAATTTATGTACCTTTTAAAATTATTATTATTATTATTATTATTACCGCTGATTCAGGTACGTTTATTATCATTATTATTATTATTACAACAAGTTTTTTTTACGAAATGGAGGAAATACCAAAAAAATAATTTTTTCATATAACTCGCAACCAAATAAAAACAAACAAACAAACAAATTAATTGAATCGATATCGATTACTACTTTTCCTCCCTCCCCTTCCCTCCCTTTCCTCATCTCCGTTCCCTTCCCTTCCCCGCCCCCCCGCCCCCCGCGTCCCCCTCCACTCATCTTTCGCGTTGATTTAATTTAAATCCAATAAATAAATAAATAAAATTTTTTTTTGTCGGGTAATTATTATATATTGTTTTTCTTTTCAAAAAAACCGGAAATAAACCCTAATAAATAAAATCAACTTCCGGTTGTAAATTATTTCAAACAAATTTATTAATAATAATAATAATAATAATAAAAATAATAAAAATAATTAATTGGATCGCGTTAATAAATAAATTTTTTTTGAGACGGTTCATTTCATAAACGGTTTTTTTTTTAAATTTTGCTGTCGTTCGAATGCACAAAAATGGTTTTGTTTTTTTTTGTTTGGATTTTGCTGTCGTTTAAGTACACAAAAACCATTTTTTTTAAAAGCAATAAAACCAAAACAAAACGAAAGGAAAAAAAGGTTTCAACCGGTATAAATTAAAAATTGTAAAAACGTTTTTATTACTGTCACCAATATTAGCGTCGTCGATGGTTTGGAAATAATTTTTTTTTTAAGGTTTCACGCTAAAAAGATACAAAAAAAAATAGCAACAATTCATTACAAATCATTTAAGATCTTTTTTTGTAACCTTTTTCCCCCCCTTTCCACCATTATTATTAACCTTTTTATTCACGGGTATCGAAATAATAATAATAATATTTCTTCTCTTTTCTATTTCGCTCAATTAAACAAATTAATTTTTTATTTTTTTTAAGAGACGTTAGGATTTTATTTTTAAAAAAAACTAATTTTTGATTTTTATAGCGCTATAATTAAAGAGCGATATAAATAGAGAAAATTTTTTTTTATCCGTATCGATAACGTTTGTTAAAAAAAAATTGATAAGAAATAAATAAATATAAATAAAAGAAAAACGCGAGTAATAATAATTTGATTTAAATATAAAAAAAACAAAATGATTCGTTACGAAACGTATTCACCTTTGACCCTTTTTCCGTTTTTTTTTTTTTTTTTTAATTATTTCACGTCTCAAAATGTTTATCGTTTTATTCGTTTGTACACATGTTGTTGTTGTATATACAAACAATGAAATCGTTTGTTTTTGATGATGATAAAAAAAAAAAAAAATACCGCTCCGCTCCTATTTTCTAAATACGATGAAAGATTTTCTGTTTTTTTTTTTTTTTCTTCTGCTGCGGCGACAGATTTTTTAAAAAAATGTCTGCCGAAGGGAGGAGAGGGTAGGGGAAAGGAGGGAAGGGAAGAAAGAAAAAAAGGGAAGTCGAAACAAAAACAAAAAAAAATTAAATTAAATTTTTTGAGAATACTTATAAAAATTCAAAAAAAAAAAAAATTCAAATTATTATTATTTAAAAAAAAAGAAAAACGCGGGAAAATTTTAATTTTTTAAAATTCGGATTAAGAAGCGACACCGAGATTAACGGATTAACTCTAACGATAAACCGGTTTTTTGTAAAATAAGAAACGGTCATTTTAGAATAAAAAAAAAAGGTCAAAAGGATGGATGGTCAACTACTTGAGGTGACGATGGTGGTGGTGGTGGTGCGAACGAAGGGTTTACAACAACCCTTTCGTGATTTTTTTTCTATTTGTAACAATAATAATAATAATAATAATAATAAGTATTTAAATTACGTGTTGATTGATAGTGGTCATAGTTTAAAAGAAAAACTAGAATGAATTTTTTTTTTTTAACATTTGTCAAATCATTATTAAAACAACCCTTTACCCTTTCTCTCTCTCTCTTTCTTTTTTATTTCTTAAGGGTGCAACGCATCGTGATGGGGAGGGAAAGGGGTAATAAAAAAAAAAAAAACTTGATTGATTGAATGACAAATAAAAGAAAAAAAAGAAACCAGTTCATTCAAACGTTAAAAGTCAAAAAAGAAAAGAAAAACCGTCCGTCCCGACGAAGAGAATTTTGTTTCGGCATCTGCCCCTGCATGAGATAAACTGATAATGAGGACCTCGGGGGTGGTTTTTATTATTATTATTATTTCGCGAGGGTATGTTTTTTTTTTAAATATAAATAATCTGCTAAATCATCAAGCTCGTAATGAAGGGATGATTTTTTTTATTTATTATTTCTGTGAGAAATTTTTTTTTTTCCGCCGGTTGGTCAATCGCGTAATTTTATATTATATTAATAAACGCCGCCATTTTTTTTTTTTTTAAATTTACGACGACGATGATGATGATGATTATTGTTATTATTATTATTATTATTATTATTATTGCGAATCCGGTAAGGGAAAACGGGGCGCGAGGAAAAAAAAAAATTATTTAACGGATCGTTTTGGATTATTTTTTTTTTATAAAAAGTTTTATTATCAGTTATTAGAATTACTGTATACGGAAAGAATTCATCGTGTCATTAGAAAGATTTTAATTTAAATGGTGACAACTGATAAATAAATTTTTTTTTATTATAGGAAGCTGTAAAGATTGACAAATTTTTTTTGTTAAAAAAAGGGGTTCATCGTTAAATACACGTCTCGAAAATGATTAAAATCGGCCGTAAAATATAATTTTATTGTTAACGTATATCATCGTAGTAGTCAGTTCGAAAGAGATAGAGAGAGAGAGAGAGAGAAAAAAAAAGATAA